AGGAGAACAAGGACAACAAGGGCTTGCAGTTTTTATTTTTAATTTTTCAAAATAATTGTTCTCATTCCCTCAACAGACACGCAGATGAACTTTGAAAATAATTGTATCGAAAGCGGAAAAAAACTTATTACATATAAATGCACAAATCGACTTGCAAAACTGAGAGTCAACCGTAAAAGGATTTTATGAGAGAAGATACAGATCTGTAATTACGCATACAAAATGAAATCCCTAATTTTTTTAGGGTTCAATCGAAAAAACCAGCAAGTCACGTAAACAACTACTTGTTTTTTATGTAAATGGGGTCAGAAATTAGAATATGTATCTCAATAAGAGCAACACTTGCGATAGGAATCATAAAAAGCAACTAACCTTCGTTCTCTGTTTTCTTTTCTTCTCATGCGAGGTCACCCATACGCTGCCGGTGCTTTCTGTATGCGGATCTGTCCTCTTCAGTGGATCTTCCGGCGAACGAACAGGTGGACTGACTTCCGGCTGGGAGGTGAAATGGTTGGAGCCCATTGTTTTCGCTAACCTAAGAGAGGTAATTTATGGATGAAGGCTGTATTCTCTCTCTCTCTCTCTCTCTCTCTCTCTCTCTCTCTCTCTCGCCTTTCGTCAATTTCAATTTCAATTGAAAGACAGATAGTCAGTACAATTCAGTAATGGGGGGACAGAAGGAAGGTGCGGTGGGACCCGCATAATAATATCAAGAGTGAAATATTCTGTAAACAAACAACCCATATCTCAATTTTATGGATTAACTCAATTTGAGTAAATTAATCCATACACAAGCGCGCCCTTAACCTTTGAAAAGACAAATTCACGAGATAGAGAGAATAAAGGTATACATACATAAAATAACCATAATAAAAAATATATAAAATAAAGATCACGTTAAATATACGTAACGAAAATAAAACTTATACAAGGTATCAAAATAAATGTGTAAAATAATAGAGCATTAAAGTGATATGAGATACAAAATCGTGTTAGAAATAAAAATGAAAGGTAGCATGAACAAAGTCACATAAGTCCATCAAAATCTCACCAATATTGATGAGATTTCTGTTGGGACTTTCTCTTTGTAATTTTGTTAGAAAAGTCTCTAAAAGTCTCACATTTAAAAAAGTCTCACAATGTCTTCCTATTTTGAATACATTGTGACTTATAGAGACTTTAAAAAAGTTTTGGATGAATACCTTGAGACTTTTAAAGACTTATAAAAAGTGTTTAAAAGTCTCAATTGAATATATGTAAATTTTCAAAAGTTTCTAAAAATTCTAATTGAATACGATTTGAGTTCTGAAAGTCTTAAAATTTCTAAAAATTGAAACTGAACATGTACTTTGACCAATATAAATAAGTTAAATGATGAAGTACCTTTGTCTCTCCTATAAGATACAAAAGTATTTTCAATTTTGCCTTAATGTAAAAGTATTTTCAACAATACATAAAACAATTATTTTATTTAAGAGATTGCATCTAAATCAGTTATCTTGTAACTTGCGTGAAATCCGCCATTATAAACCAAAAAAAAAAAAAATTGATTACGAGAGAGAAAAGAAAAATAATAACTGATTCATTTATAACTTCCTTAATTCACGCAACTTGTACATTGTAATTCAAGCAGCCGCCGGGTAGTATATTTTGAGTTTATGTTAGTATATACTCAGTGTATTTGCAATATTATAATTCACGCAGGTGCAGAAATATACTAACATACACAAAAAATATACTTCAAAAATAATAAAAATGTGTAACATGTGCAGAAAGCCAATGACAAAGTGTATAACATAGAAAGATAAAAGATATTTCAGATAGAGAGAAAAGTTACCTCGGATATACCCACCAGATAACCAGAGAAAAGTTATTTCAGATATACTCGGATATACCCAACAAATAACCCAAGAAAAAAAGGAGATATTAAACAGATAACAAGAGAAAAGTTATTTTGGATATACTTGGATATACTCAACATATACCCAACTCGGTTTTGTAAATATACCTTCGAATTATATAAATTTTCAACGCATATGTGCAAAGGTCACAACTTCTTAAACACCCACAAAAGCTCAAAGTTGTTATTATTAAAATCAAAATCAATTCATACAAGAAAAAAAAAAGGAAAGAAAGAAGGGGCAAATTCTAGGAAACACGCCACGGATTCTTCTGGTTCTTGCCGAAACTGGTTTGGCCAGGTGAAAGCCTCACGGTCTCAAACGTACTGAAACTCGCCGGAAATTTGGTGGCCCTCAGCCAGGGTTCGTCGTCACGCCTGGAGGGAAATTTGGGGAACGAAACACATAAGTGCGTAGTTCTTATTTAATTGATTTTGTTTTTGCTCTGCAACCGGATGAATTAGTATGGAGAACGAAGGTGGAAATTTTATTATATTCCCTCCGAAGAAATTGGTGTTAGAGGAATTGTAGAAGAAGGAGATGAGATGGGGAGAGAAGAAGAAACAAATGGAGATTTTATTATATTGCCTCCGAAGAAATTGGTGTTAGAGGAATTGTAGAATAAGAAGGACATGAGATGGGGAAAGAAAAAGAAACCAATAGAGAGAGAGAGAGAGAGAGAGAGAGAGAGAGAGAGAGATAATTATAGATCTCATAAATTTAGGATAATCAATTTAATTTTTTGTTTCCTCTTTGTTAGGTAAATGCATATTTTATCTCACTTAAATATCTCATTTCCATTAAAAATGAGTTAATAACGGTTACATAATTTAGCTATAATTGAAAATATTTTAAGCATTTTTGGTATTTTTAAAAATAAGACTTTAAGGGGTATAA